TCACAGCAATTTATTTTATTTATTTTTAGTTTTTTAAAAAATGTTTATTTAATTTTGAGAGACTAAGACAGAGCACAAGTGGGGAAGGTGCAGAGAGAGAGGGAGACTCAGAATCCAAAGCAGGCTCTAGGCTCTGAGCTGTCAGCCCAGAGCCCGAACCAGGGCTTGAATTCACAAGCCATGAGATTGTGATCTGAGCTGAAGTCAGATGCTTAACAGACTGAGCCACCCAGGCACCCCTTTTTACAGCAATTCAAAGATGTCCTTTCATTTTCTCTTTTATAAAATAGAGCTAATTGATGTACCTGTGTGTCACTGGTGGTTTAGAGAATGAAATGAGAGTGAGCGACCGCGGTGTGGAGTAAGTGTTTAGTATTGCTTATTCCTTCCCGTGTGCCAGGTGCTGCTCTAGGCACTGGTCACGCAGCCAAGAACAGACAACGTCTCTGTCCAGAGGGCATGCACGGTCTTAGAGAGGAGAGCTAGAGAAGTACACAAACACAGATAGCAGGAAGTGCTCCTGGGAGAAGATAGAATAAGCGTGTCGATGAGTTTTGGAGGAGGTGCAAGTCCCTCTCTTCTCTACAGGTCCTGTTTGTGCTGTGGATGTAACAGTTGTTGGGCAGAGCTAGAAATCCTGCGTGTTCAGCCAGATGAGCTCCTCCGCGAACATCTATGTCGACGATGGTTCCTATAATAAGCTTCTGTCCTACCTGATGGGCCTGGATCAGCCTCAGCTGGAGGAATTCAAGATCTGCCTCCAGTCCTCACAGCTGCTGCTTGGGAACTTCCAGCAGATTCCCTGGGCAAACTTGAAAGCCATCGATCCCACTAACCTGTTGTGTCTGTTGAGTGAATACTTTTCAGAAAGGCAGATCTGGGAAGTGACCCTCAGCATCTTTGACCACATGAACCTGACTTCACAGTGTACAGAAGTTCGAGCGATGATGAATGGTGAGTGGGTCCGTAGGAAGGATGGATAGATGGGGGCAGGGATGCAGATGGGCATCGACCTGCTGCTCCTGGGAGCTGCTGGATTTTTATGGGGTCCTGCCAAAGTGCTAGTCTATTCCGTAACAAAGAATCTCCCTGCTGGGCTATGAAAGTTTCAGGTAAAGGGATAACAGCTACAAAGACTTGGAGCTCTAGCCTGGGAGGGAACGGGAGTTGACGATGCGAAGCAAAAATAGGAAAGTGAGAGGCACACTCAGTCGTGCGGCAAGCCTTCTTTTCAAAATATAAATTTGTTCCCATGCTGCTGTAGTATTAGGCAGTGATTTGAGCATAACAGGCATTTCACGTTTGCGTATGCAGATTTTTTTTTTCCTGCAAGGAAAACGCTAGGTACATGCAAACGAAACAAAAAACCGCACCCAGTTGAGTGGAGCTGTGAAGCAATATACCAAATGCACATGCACATATACACACCTCAAGTATCTACCGGCTTCCCAAGTTTTGGTTGCATGTGACTCATGCTTACTGCCCGATTTCATTTTTTAAAATACAACTTATTGCCAAACTGGTTTCCATACGACACCCAGTGCTCCTCCCAACAGGGGCTCTGCTCAATGCCCATCACCCACTTTCCCCTCTCCCCCACTCCCATCAACCCTCAGTTCTCAGTATCCAAAAGTCTCTTAAGGT